CTTATGACATTGGTTTGCCTCTCTTGTTCTCATTTCTGAGTTCTTACAGTTGTTAGGAAGGTTTTCTTACTGTTTACTGCTGTACGGAGTCACCCGAACTGAAGACAGGGTGTCCCACACGCCAGACAGGAAGAGGAAGAGTTTTAGTTCCTGCCTCCCTGATTGGACGGTGGGAAACACCCAAAGATGTCCTCCTTTCCTCAGAGGAGAAGGACCCCTCACGGTAAGTGTCCAAGGGTCGATCTGCTTTGAAGCCACCCTCTTCCTTTATATATAAATTCCACACCATCCTTGGTTCCAACAACACATTGATATCAGTTCCGATATAACAAGTTTGGAACCGACATCAACATACCTGAAGGCATTGAATATGGAGGTGGACCCCTGTGAATGACTCCACATACTCTATCCTTGGTGTACTTTTCCACACCACTAATCGTCAGGTGTGTGCGACCTCCCACCACTGAAATTACTAATGCGCTCTGATCCTAATTACCAATGGAATCAAATGGAACCTTGGCATTCAGAACCATACTGTCTTCTGAGACACAGCCAGAATAGAGATTTTCTATCATCAGAACCAGCCGATAACCATGGTACAGACCGGGCCCAAACACCTATACAATGGCCATCATAACTGAAGATGTACAGTTCCAAAGGTGAGGAAGATAGAGATTCTGTCATAAGCTTGGGCCTGGCATCTGAACTTCTGCCCGATAATGCTGTGTATGATCAGGATCCTGTGTCTCCAAAAGGTGATTTACAGCTCTACACTGCACAAATGATCCACATGGCACAGTCACTGGACATGTAGGTCACAGCGATAGATGCTAAACCTAAAGATAAAATTTTGGGCAAACTGTACCCAGATCACCAGATGTGGTAATGTTCCTTTTATTAGATTTTTTAAGGCAACGCATTGAAAAGATGTCCTAGGTGCAACAGGACTCCTTTCTTTTTCTATTTGCCGATCCAATTCCCTTGTCCCTAATTGCTGAAGAAATGCAAAACAAATACAGAACCAGCACACACGCTGCCCCGGCTGACATGGAAGGGTCAGAGATCAACGTACTGAATTGTAAGGTCTACTCCTCTTCCCCTTTGAATTTGAGAATTATGAATTACAAGGCCATTATGTCAGCCTATCAACTGTTCTTATGGGGAACAATTCAGCCATACTGGCGACAATGACTGGAGGATCACAGTACTTTGGCAAAGTTGATCCAATCAGAGGCATTCAAATCGTCACAACAACAATGAATGCAACCAAGCCTGCTGCAGATGTTTCAGCTCAGACAATGGCCTCAATCATGGCTTTGAGACAACAAACTTGGTTGTGGTCCACGGCTCTCCCACCTACCACTTGGAATTAAGTACAGGGTTTACCCTTCGAGGGCTAAAGCTGACAAATTCCTGCAAGGATGTCAGTTCCCTCACCATGGATGTGTTCCAACAGCGCTAAACCTCAGCACCAAACATGAGGCAATCAGGGAGAGATGCCCAAGTCTCTCTTCCAACTGTTAAGAGTGATATATCTCAATCCTCTTTCCATTATGGCTTCTCTGTTTTCTTCCCCAAATGTCAAGAGATCACATCCAATTCATAAGTCCTTTCCATAATTCAAAAAGGTTACTGTTTTGGAGTTTAAAGAGTTGTCGCCGTTGCACTCAATTGGTCCAGAGGCTGACAGTGCTTTTCCTGAGTTTGATGGTGAATTAAAGGTTTTGTTTTAAAAAGATGCAGTATGGTTGTGATGGACTGCACAGAAAGGCAGGCTTTTTAAGATGCTACTTGTATCAGAGAGTCAGGGAGTTCAAGAATTAATCTTACCTGGAGAGAAGAGCTTAGGTGATTGGCTGCTCTAGTCGCTCTCTGACTGGCCAGCATCAGCTGAGAGAGGAAAGTACTTTTCTGACTATTGCCTGTCAGAAATCACTGACTCCCAAATGTCTCTTCTCTCAAAGAGAAACCCCATTGTCTTAGATATATTAAAATGGCTCTGAGAGAGAACTTTAGTTTTTCAGTCAGGAAAGCTAGAGAACAGTCTTATACAGACAAAGGATACTGGAGAAGGATTTGGCAGAAGGTCTGGGTAGTTAGAGAGAACTCCCTTACAAGCAAATAGTAAAAGGAGTTATTGCTTCTTAGGGACAAGGAGAATAACTTCCTGCCAGTGAAAGGGGTTGGGAAGAGAACCCTGGTCTGTGATAAAGGAGAGAAACTTAGACACCTCAGGAGTTAATGAAAAGCTATATTATTTAAAGGAAAACCTGTAATATCTGAAGGAAGAAATCTAGAAACATCAATAAGAACTGTGTTAGTGCTGAAATATGCTAAATAAAGTACCTCTCAAAGAAATAAATAGAAAGCCTTGAAACAAAAATACACTCTCTTAATGTTCTAAAAATTCAACTCTGTGTATATTACAAAGTATTTTTACCTCAGCAACCTCAAAACCTTGACTATTCCTATATTCCCTGCCAGTTTAATAAAACCTTTATTCTGTTTCTGAAAGTTAATTTGCCTCAAGTGCCATTTCTCAAGGGTTTAAGAAAACTGGACAGCTCCTGTATTTTCAGTAGAGTTCCCAAGCTGAGAAAAAGCCTAAACTAAATATCTAAACATTGGGTGGGACAGACAAAAAATATATACACGCTACTGTAAGCCAACTCAGTCACTGGGGGAAACTGAAGATTTGGTGAGAAAAATCTGCCAGACAGTTGGGGAGATACGGAGGTCCATCAAAACAGTATTTGGATTCTAAAGAATCACACCTTGGTTATTATTCCAGGTTCCTTTTAATCAATAAAAAGATGGCAGCTTGCACCCACTTCTAGACTAGGGAGGATTTAATGCCTTCCTCTAGGTCCGTGATTTTAAATTATTTTCCTTACTTACAGTCTCACAGTTACTTACTCCAGGAGACTGAACGGCAGTCCCAGACCCTCAGGACGCTTATTTTCATTGAAAATATATATGGTTTTGTTGCAAACTCCCTTACGAATATAAATCACTTCTGTTTGGACTAACCACAGTCTCAAGGGTGTTTACTAAATGTATGGTAGTAGTTGCCTCTCTGAGATCCACAGGCGCTTCTGTGTTTTCCAGATTTGGTTGTTTGGCTGTTTACAGCCCCTTCTGTGGAACATCTTCACTCTCAACTCTCCTTAGCAGTTCATACTTGTCAGGAACTTGGCTTACATATTAGTTGGAGATAATGTGATTTAATGCCCTGTCAGCAAATGCTTTTTATTGGGACAGTATTAGATTCGAAGATGGGTAAGGTCTTTTTACCAAGAGAAAAGATCACTCTTCTTAAAGGGATGGTGGGCCTCTGTTTGTCGGTTCCAGAGTACAGTTTCTATCAAAAAATTACTTGGATTAATGGCCTTGATGGTTTTTATGGTCCCATTTGCTCGCTTAAGAATGCCGGCTCTAGCTTTTGGAAGGAAATAATTGCAAAAATAGAAACTATATTGGGAATTCAGGTTCCTTACACACCAGAATCCATTTTATTAAATTATTGGGATAAAGGGACCTTTTCTCAAACATCTGAGGAATTACTTTCTCTTATGTTAATCGCTGCTAAAACATTAATAGCTCAGGTCTGGAAATTAGACAAGATCCCTACAGTAAAACAGCGGTTCATGAAATTATGGGATATAGTGATTATGGATAAAATTGCAACACAACTGTTAGAAGCAGAAAAACCTGAGAGGAAATCTAAATTTTTGGAAAAATGGTTTGTGTTTTTTTATTATATCAACAATGTAAACAATGGAACAACTGCACTACCTGCTAAATATGTTGATTTTGTATTTTACTGATTTGTTATGTTAATCGCTTTAAGAAATATTAAGTATGTTAGTAGTGAAATATTAGTTGTACTACGGGCACATTTATATTTTGCACTTTATATTGTTTTTTCTTCTGTTTTTTTTAAGTTGTATGTTTTTAAAAGTTATAAAAATAAAGTTATAAAAAAAGAAAAGAATGCCTGCTCTACAAAATAGGTTTATAAGAGTACTCCAACCAACATTACCCCCTCCAAACTGCAGTTTCTCAATTCTAAAGCAGATCCCTAATGAGCTAACATGGTGGACAACAGAATTTAACCTTAACTGCGGAATGCCATTCGGTTCATAATCCCCACAAGTCACACTCATGACAGTTGCTTTCCTGTTGGGATGGGGTGTCCACTCTGAGGTTAATTATGTCAGAGGGATTTAGTTTGATTGTGATAAGAGGTCTCATATTTATCTATTAGGACTCAGTGATTCTTAACACCCTTAACTGCTTCTCAGATTTATCACACAAGAAAGTGGTACGAATTGAGACGGACAACACAACCACAAGGTTTTTACCTAAGCAAACAATGAGGAACTTCATCTGTCCCTTTATGTTGCAAAACCAAACTCGTCTAGAAATGGGTGATCACAAGCCATGCTTTCTTTCAAGAGATACCCAGCAGTTTGCAAAAGAGCAATCACAAGTGGACTTTTCCTTACAAACATTTACACTCTCTCTTTACACGATGGAGGTTTTCCTCACAAGTCTCCCATTGGGAGGGGCTCCTCCCACTCTGTTGCTAAGCTGAAGAAGAAATATTCCAGGGGCTGGCCTGCAGCTGTGCAGAACCCATGTGGGACGGACTGCAAAAGACAACGGCAATGAAAACAGGATTCCACTTACCTGGCTTGTCTTTGAATCCTCAGAATTCAGTAAGAAGGGAGGTTTTAATTATGTATAGTATTTTTGTTATAAGTAGCCTCATTTTTACATCTGAATTCTCAGATTCATGCCAGCTGATCCAAAGGACTAGTTAACGTGTGATCTGTTAGCTTTAGAACTTCATACTTTGTCACCCATACTGAACAGAGCTCCTCAGATGCCCTCCCCCCCAAACAATGACTCAAATGTGAGTCTCTCCCCACTGTCTTCCACAATGACAGCTGCTGTAAAGAATTCCGCTAGTTTTTTTGTAGTCAGAGGAAACGTACCTTGTAAGAGGATGTAGGATCTGTTCTGAGAGGAGTCTCTGGTAATTTCCCAGGCAGCGTCTCTTCATCTACTGTGGTTTCTACTTGCCTGAGAAGATAGTGACTAGTTGTTTGCAGTGGACTTTCAACATCTACTTACACAAACATATAAGGGACAAATTAGCTTAACAGACTGCTTCTGGTGCTTTCATTTCACTACATCGCTGCTCCTAGAGAGAAAGGACTGAGGACAAAATAATACAGAAGGGCTACATTTTAAAATGTTTCAGTGTATGATTTATAAGAAAAGTGCACAATAAAAGCTGAGTGTGACACTAGCCATATGATGCCAGTGTGAAGCTTCAAAAGGCTTATTGTTTAACATGGGCATAAGAAGACAGGACAGTGGACACTGTACCTACACTATTTTATGCCCATGCAGGAACAGGGAGAGACAAAGAGAAGCAGTAGCTCTCAAATGGATCATTGCATACCCTTCTGGCTCTTGAGTCATATTACAAATAATTCTTACAACTTGGGATACTGGAGATTCATCTCTTTGCTCCACCCAGCTCAGGTGAATGGATCACTACAGGCAAGGCAGGATGCCTAACCTGGCAGAGGGAAATCAGCTCTTTCAATATATTGTTTCTGGATCTGAGCTGGACTGCTCTTCCAAACTTGGAAGCTTCAGCTGGTACAGAATATTGTTACCCAAGCTTTAACAGGCACAGGAAGGTGGAAGCATGTCCACCCGGTACTGCACAGACCGCAGTGGCTATCAGCGAGTTTCATGGTCCAATTCAAGGTGCTGCTTTTAACTATTCTCTCTTTTACTATTTCTGTAATATCGTTTGGCATCCACATATCAGCAATGTTTACTTAAAACATTTACGGGTCAGTTTTCCACCATTCAAACAGCCTAAGCTACTTAAACCAACACTGTACAATAAAATTATAAAAGAAAACAGCAAATAATAATATTTTTAAAGCTGTATAAAGAAAAGAATATAAAATAAAACAGGAATTACAGAAACATCTTCCAAATAATGGAAAACCTAAGTGAAAACAGAAGAACTAAATCACGTACCTTTTCTTGCAATATTAGGAAGTGTGAATAAGACATCATTGTCCCTAGGGATGGAAAACAGCATGCTTTCCTTTAAAGGAACAGTGTAATTTGAGTGCCTAAGCACTCTTAAATCCTTCACTAGTATATCTATTTCAGTCACTTCATCTTGCTGAACCTGCAAAAGATAAGAGTTAACAAAGATTATTTATTTAAAACATTTTTATGCCACTTTGCCCTTTAAGTGAAATTTCACCTGCCACTCAGTTCCTGAGTCTTTATGAGATGTGTGGCCTGCAACTTCGTGATGCAATTTACAAAAGCCCAAAGGGCTAAAGTGACATAAGTAATCTCTGAGCTGCTTAACCTGGAATGAAGATGACTCAAACCACAAAGTAATGCAAAACAGCTCTCCAAAATTCTTTATCAGACTAGATCTTACAAAATAAAGTGGGGGCAGAAAACCAGATGTTTCAGACCATGATTTTAAGGCTTTTTTCTCACTGACATCCCTGTGCCCAGTGCTGGAAAAGAATGAACTAGCAAGAGACTGTGCATATGTGAATTTACTAGGGTTGCCATTCCCCTGGTGGTGCCAGGGAACCCCCCAATTTTGGGGGCTTCAGCCCACTACTGCCTGGCAGGGGAAGCCCCACCCCTGCAACACCCATCATAGTCCCCTGACAAATGAATCGTACGACCAACCCTAGAATTTACTCACAACCAGGGATCATTTCCTGCGGGAGTGCTCAGGAGTGGAGCTCCAGCAGTAAGGAGCCCAGGGGGCGGGCACATGCAACAAGCCCCGCCCCCTGCTCCCAGCAGCCCTCAGTCGGGCCACGAGGAGCAAGAAGCAACCAGGTAAGTTGCAGAGGCCCCCCCCCGGCCCGCCTTCAGGTACAAGCTCTCCCTCCTCTGTAAGGGCAGATCTGCGCGATCTTCGACGTGGTCTCTGTGCTTCACACCCATGGGATCTAGTGCGCACGCGCTGGATCGATCGGTATTGTAGCAAGCTCTTAACGGATTTTCACACCCAGACCTCGGGCATGTGTAGGAACCCCACCGCGCATGCCCAGAGGGGTGGGCGCGGACATCCCGCCAGTTCATTTCTTACCGCCGTGTTGGAAAGACCCTTTCTTCGTCAGTCTGATCGGTTCGCTTTTTTGGCTACTTTGCCTCACGGCTCTTCGGATTTTTTCCTCAGTTTTATTATTTTTCTCACTCTTCTTCGTTTGTTCTTTAAAAAAAACTCAAAAAAATGTTTTTTCTGTTGAGGGGGAAGTTGCTGGTT